ACATTTTTCGGCAAATGACGACAGAAAGTGTTGATTTACCCCGATACATTGACTGTGTTATTCTCCCAGCTTTAGTGCCCTAGTCAGCTAAAAAAACACCACTCACCATATAAAAGATGAGCACGCACAGAAAAAAACTTTAGTTCACAAATTTCACACGGAACTTTCGTATGGCCAATTGAATACGCAAACCCAGCTCTCAGTAATTTGTGGAGCAACCGCATTTGAGCTCTGAGTTCCTTGAGAACAATGGGGCTGGTAAACTCTGTGCTTGGTATATGGTATTAATGATCGCAGTTATCACTATAGTACCCGCCCAGCGACGATGCGCTATCTCGCTCTGATGCGACTGTTTTAGCATGCATACCAAATCGTTGTTGGCCCCATCACTAAGATGATTCGCTTACACTCGGATGATAGCGAAGCATCCGTTTGACCACCACTTGTTTTCTGTGTTTGCGTGATGAGCTACAACGAGGCTGGGTTACTAATCGCATCGATAATACCGACGGTTCAGTGATGACATGTTCGCACATGAACTTGACGTCTACTATGTGCCTCACTCAACTTATGCTCCGGATTAAGAGTCGTAGTTGTCGTGTACTTACTGGATTTAAAAAATGGGGTGAATCAACTGTCGTTACGGCCTGTTGTTTTGTATTGATTGATATCAGTTTCACTTGTCGAGCGAACACAAACATATGGTAGACTGGGTTGAAGCATGAAGCCATGGTGAGGATAGTGTGTATGTGTGAGATAAATGAAGTGGTGAGAGTTCCTGGTTTAGTCACATGTGGAAAGTTAACCAATGCTGAAGATAATACCACACGAAGACATCGACGGAATCTATTTGAGGAAGACCGCACTTATCAACAAAGCTTTTGACAACAACACGTTCATCTCACAAGATATGAACACCAAAATATGTTGCCGTGTTTCAAACAATTTAAAATTTCAGCTGCTTTTCATCATTCTCTTGAGTGTTGGAGGGGTTTGTGCTAGTAACTGGTACTCCCACCGATCTACAGGAACTGCCCTGCTACTCATCCAGTTCTGAAACTTATTAACGCAGTGGAAGCGATGAACCTGTTTTCTATCTCACATACTTCGCGGCAGAGCTGTTACACTATAGGCACCAAAGTTGAGTAATCTCTTTCGAGAAATTAAAGCTTTGGACTGTCCCCGCCTTTGAATTTGGTATTGTCGTAAAAGACATCACGCCGCACTTTGACCCACTCTTTTTTGTTGTCTGCTCATGTTCGGAGGCGATGTTTTACTGAGTAAGTTCCTCATATACTCTGTATTTGAATGGAATATGGGTTTCCGCCTGCATATTCCAGATCGTTGCGGTGAAGTTGAACGGTTCCGTAATTTCTCTGTCAACAGGGTCCACTGCTGAATGCACCAAAGCATGTTCGTTATTACTTTGTTTTGAAGGTGCATGGGCATTCTGTCTGGGCCACCTGACCTAAGCGCCCAGTCAGTGCCACCGTTCAAAGTATCTAGTTCTCCACGGTAATAACCTCTTTTGGAAAGATAATCTGGTAGGTCGTGGCCGAGGGACCCGTTATCGAAAGTCTCTTCTGGTAGGAACTCTTCGAAGAGACATATCAGTGAATTGTCTTCTTCCAAGAGGTAACTACCTACCGGCCTATTGATGGCCGGAAACAAGCGGTACTCAAGATAGGATAAATTTGCTCTTTTGCGCGAAATTTTCGGATTCCCAGGGAATCGTTACTCTTTCGCCATAGTGGGATAGAAGGCAGTTCTGGATAGTGTTTACAGAACTTTGTTTCTTGGCCGACATCGTCAGTGCGCACTGATGATGTATCCTCGTATGGTGACGAAACGTTTGCCAGCCAATTACCAAGCTCGGCGAACAGATCAGCAGCCACCTGAGCAACAACCAATAAACTCACCTGAGCTACCAATATTTCGACACATTACCAAGCATACTTTGGCTAAAAATCAGTGTATTTAGAACTTAGCTTCAAGCTTGTTCAGATTACGGACAATACCTTAACGAAAAGGTAACTGAATTGTAGTACTTCATCTGGCATAGACTGGGCTGAAGGAGGATCAAGCAGTTCTAGCTTGAAAATAGATCAGTTATCATTGTAGTACCATCAGTTCTGAATAACCACAATCGCGGTGTAGGGTGAAGTTAGATCATACCGGCTAGGTGTGGCGTGCATGCACCAGGTACTAGGAAAGCCTCAGATGACTAGGTACGTGGTCCCAGCTTGACACTTTCGGTCACTTCACTGTGGACTCTGGCAACTCAGAGATACTTTAGTCTAAGTACTTCTTCCTGTGGATCGCAGAATGGCTCTGAACTGGAATGGTGCAAGAGCTGAAAGATCTCCCATCATTTTTCAATGCCACATAGATTGTAAATGTTATGGAGTACAATCAGATGGGTCCACAGGAACATTAGAACGGTCAAGGTTGCCCAGAGCAGAGGTCAGCCATTCCACGACAATATAATCGTTGTTGTAGCGAAGCAATTTATCTCTAGGGGTCTATTATTTTGGTCTGTGTGGATGGTTCTTATCGTGTGATCATCGTAGAGGAGACGCATAGATGCACAGCAGAGTAGACTTTTCATTGGTGACCTAAGTTCCGATCATGACTAACGGCTGTACCGATGTTGTCGTGGGTTTCTGTTCACTGGGGTCTAATAAGAGAAACGTTAAAAATATCTCTGTTAAAAATAGGCTTTATTGAGTGCAGCACATCAGTTATCTTTCTCAGTGTCACACACGATCGAGTCACATTCTAAGAGACAAAAAGTCTACTGCAGAATGGGTGAACCACATTCACATATACCAGAGATAGAAGACCTCCAGTAATACGCAGCTGCTTAGACACATAGCTAGAAAGCTACCCAGCTAGCTAGTTAGCTAGCTAAATGGATAGATGAATTAGCGAAGTGTTCTGCAACCTAACCTGCTTCATTACCAATAACTTTAAAGATAGGATTGGTGCATAGAAAGGAAGTTACAGAATAACCTGTCATGACAGAAGATTTTGAGGTGATGCACTGGGGCAGTAACTTAGTAGTTGGGATGAAACATTCGCGAAGCCAGGAGGTACAGTTAAGTGACAAGGGAACAAGGGACCCCCTATTATTTCCTCTAAGAAAAGCGGTCAACTTTGTTTGTGTGGAATTTATTGCATCTGTGCTGAAAAAAACAGACGGCAATCTGCCACCGTTTTAAACTTATTGAGAAGGATATCATTTACTTAGAACCATTGCAACCGGACACTAGTATTGTTTTGCAGCTGACTAATATGCAGCTTGGTCATCTTACACCTAGACAGGATGTAGCCTTACCATCCGTCAAGCAGCTTTCTTCACTTGATGTAGTGTTGACTACCTCATGGACAGACAAGTTCTGTTCGTCCAACTTAATCATGCCGGTGCTGCCTCACTCGTGGCCGAGTGAGGTGTATAGTAACTCGAGGGTTGGGATGTGAATCTAACAAGAGGTTTACTGAAGCGCATAGTGCCAACAGGGACAAACTGACTGTCTAGTGCCTCTCTGACTGCAAACTTGGTTGGATCAAATCCTTATTCGAAGCTTCACAATATGTACTACTTGCAAACATTTTGTTCCAGACTCAGTTGAGTAACGGCGGATTAGTACGAGAAACTTCAAAAAACCTCCTACAGGGCAGTGCAAATGGGATTCATATTGCAAAGGTGATGAAAAATGGACGTTCTGAGCAGAGTACGTAACGGATTGCGTCAGCCTTTACTAAATAATGAATCAAGTCTGGAGCAATTACCTACAGGGATCAGTTTGAATTCAGGTAACTAGGGGGACAGAAGGGCTTGGAACACACGTGTGTAAAACTGAAAAGGGACTAAATCTGATCCAAGAAGGCTCGACACTGTTCACATGTGGGCATGAGATTATATGGTGTTGAGAGCCATGGATCTGGGGCATCACGGACGAACGACATATGGGTTTCCATATGAAGACAAAATATTTCGTCAGCCATAGTACATCTCTTCTTGTACCTAGGTGTACTTCGGCAAGGGTTCAAGGGACGACCCACCACAGGCAAAGCCTTGTCCGGCTAATTCCAGATGTGCACGCTAGTGCGACAGCGTTTCAGTTCAGCCCATCTATTACCGATCCTCATCTGTTAGCATCACTTTTAAAGCGTTACTTCTTCGGGCATGCACTTGTGTACCACATGTGTAGTAAAAAACAATCGGTCAACTTTATCAGCATAAAAGAATTTGAAGTAAAACCCACTACTAGTTACAAATAAAATACCATATATTCCATCTAATTTGCTATTCCACCTAACCCAGATACTGACGCGATACTCAGCATACAACCCCACCCTATGAGTTGGTAAAAGAAAAGAGGCACGCTACCGTTGGAGCGCTGATTGATTAATTAGAATATATCCTACACAACAAATAGTCCTAATCACGGCCAAGATTCCATAGCAAACCGAATGCCATTTTCCCAGCGAAAACATATGTTTGTGTATGTGTGTATGAGGGGTTTGGGTTGGGGTGGGGGGCTGCAAACATATAAAGAGTGGGCTGGCTGTGAGTCTAATAACTGAGCTGGTTAACATGTGCAAGTGTAGGTTCATAGTTATGGGTGGTCTTCCTCCACTAGTAGATACTTCAGCCTAGACCACCCGGTTTTATGTGTATATGTTGCAACAAAGGCGCACTATCAATCCATTGGTAGCGACAATATTCGTTTTACTGTCTTGCCTATTATGACTGTAACAATCCTTCCGTCTGTGGGAGGCGAAAACGGGTGTTATTGTCTGTTATCCCAAAATAAATCAGTCTTGTCCTGTGATGAGGAGTTATCGTCTGTCTCTAGCCCACACTTTGAGATATATTTACGGCGGGTATCTTCGACCTCTTGGATTGAATCTTGACCGCGAGTTTCATGATCTTGCCGACCGTATGTCTTGGAGAGCCACATCGCCTATCAGTTACTTCTTTTCTCCGCTTACAGTGCCTTATTGAAGAGACCATCGAACCATTCAGGTCTAACCACAGACAGTCGAGTTGTGCATCCAACCACCGAGAAAGGCAGCTGAAAACGATCAAACCCAAAGCCAGTATCAGTCCAGTAAGGGAAAAGCTATGCACCACACAAACATCCGGTCCTCAGAATGAGGCTTCGGGTAACGATACCTACATGAACTCATTCAAAGACTTCATAAGCCGTTTCAACGCTTTGGGCAAGCAGATGTCAAAAGATTTTCTGTTTAATGCCGATGCTAGTGCAACGCTTTCGTCCCTGGGCAATGATTCACTATGCCCGATTTGCAACCAATCTATCGGACAAGGGAACAGGGAAGAGCTGATCAAACATTTGGCATTTGTGCACCTTCTTCCAATCCCGTCCATACTCAACTACATTACCGCGACAGCAACAGGAATGCAGATAGGCCAAGAGAAGGCTAGTCTGTCACGTTTGCCCGTTCTTGAAACACCAACGCCACTTGAATGTGCAGAGAGGCTGAACGTCACCAGGGAATGGTATAATTCCCAGACAAACACATCACAGTCTCCTCCACTTATCCCTGAAATGGGAAATTCATCTCAGAGTCGACCGACAGAACGAATTTTGAAGAAGGATCAAACGACTGAAGGTGAGCAGGTTTTAAAAATGTGCTGAGGCCGCTGTTGTTAACTGTAATGTTGAGCCCTCCTATGTAGCGCTGGCCTATTTGAGTTCATTTAACCCATGTTCTATTTTCCTGCCTTGGGTGAAGGCTTTGATACTAGCCTTGCGACCACAGGCCTGTTGCCTACGCAGTGAAAATGCTTAACGATCGTTGGAGGATGAAGGATCGTTTCCCGGATTGATATGGATATCATAACACTACTGAGGTCAAACCCACTATAAGCAGTGATCAATTTATATTCTAATGATCCTCCTCAAACATCTCTGTGCTGTGGCTTTAGGATTAGATTAAAGGGATAAATGTTGTATTGAAATTGTGTGAATGGTGATTTCCTAAGCTGTTTTGGTAAACAATACTTCAGCTGTTTTCTTGCTGTTCAAAATAGTTTCCGCTTCCCAGCATGAGAAGCAGTGAAACAATCACCGCCGAGTCAGTCTGCAGAAGAACTGGTTGCCGGCCGACCAGCATGCCTGTGAGGTACCAGGCGCCCAGAAAATAAATGACCTTCCAGAATAGATATAGGGCCTGTCTAACGCACCCTGTCAAGTGAACAGCAACGCGTAGCTCTGTTAATACCAACGGGATGTAAGTGGAAACGGGGGGGAATATGTGGGTCTATTGGTTGGACGGAATCAGAGCTGTTGCCACTACCGTTGCTTCCACACCATCATCATCATCATCATCATCGTCATCACCTATTCTCATGTGGCACACCTTGGATGGATTAATAATGACCACAATTCGAACAACGTTTGTCTCAGCTGTTACTATCCGTAGATGGAATCCAAAGTATAAATCACACGAACCGCTGTCATTCGCGCGAGAGTAAGCTTGATCAGAAGCGTGGCATTGGCGTTTGTGGTGCTCCTGTTGATAGTAGGCATCCTAGTTAGAAGTCAATGTGAGTGGATTTTGACAGAGGACGAATTCATGGAACAACAAGCCGTTGCCGCCATGGGGTACTTCCCACGGTTCTGTTGCACTGGTAGCCGTAACCAATATGAATAATAGGGTGCATTATACAGCCCAGAGTTCTATTTAATTGAAACGGAAGACTTACGACGACCATTGATACTCAATAAATTAAAGAATGAAGTCCATTTAGGCGTCGACTGTTAGTGACTCATGAGCGCTACTGATAGTATGGAAGCACGATGTTACTGTTATTCGGAGAAAATAAGCAAGCTGGATTGTTCTGTAATTTTGTATTCCTGAAAAATTCTTTCAAGTGTTAGCTGGTTCAGGGTGGATTGTGCATTTTGTCGAAAGGTAAACAGTTTCGCGTCTTTTTATGGGACAACACACGGAGCAATACGTTATCCCATGTTCTTCTGTCACGACGGTAGAAAACATACTTTTTAGTAGCAAGGTTATGCTATACGGGCGACGATGATAGTAATGACAACAATGGCAGTAAATATCGTTTAGTCTTTTGTTGCATAGATGCCATATCATCTGAAGGATGGACCGGGATATTGCCAGGTTACCCGAGTCTGGACAGGAGCAATCGAGATGGAGAGGTTGGGTTCGAACCAGACCCTCCGGTTAGTCAGTTTCAGCAGCCTAACCACTGGGTTATGTACAGTCCTAGGTGATCCTTACCATCAAGAAACGATCATGATCAGGTACAAGACCAATGCGTTGAACGATCGGCATGGAAAAACACAATTTCAGAACTGATGTGAATACTGCTAACTAGTCAGGCTCGTTTGTCACATTACCAGGATACCGGTGACCAGCAGAATTTGTCTGAGCGAATAGTGAGCGCGTGAAATTGCTACACAACAATGGTTAGGTTTGCGGGAGCCAAGTACTTTTCAGAAGTGTGGTGTCCTCACGATCTTCTGTCGTTCTTGCATCGCGTATTTACACATTTTTGTTTACAATGTTCCATAACGGGTACCCCCTGGTAGAAAAAAACAAGTGTAGCAGACTTAAGTGCGCAAAACGCTTTTCATGTTCTGACAACATCACTTTGAATAGTCACATACTGTTTGCTGGGTTTATTGTCATTATTCAGTGTGACTAATTCTCTTTTGAACCGATAACAATGACTGGAAAACAATGTATACTAACATATCAACCTACTTACTATATTGAGACGTCATTTAGCCTTCTAATTTTTGCCAACTGTCGACAACCAGCAGATTAAAGAACAAAACATGGCCAAGTAATTCAAAGTGTGAGTAGTCAGGTTTCTGCTGAAGACGTCTTAACGGACTTAAGGCATCTGCTAGTGAGGTCTTGCACCATGCTTGTACACACAAAAAGATGTGAACCTTCTGAGAAGCAATGGTCGTTTAATTGATTCCAGCAACAAAAAGGAAATGGAGGGACGTTCGTTCCAGCAAGTCTTTCATCCTGCCAAAAATCCAGATACTGCTTTAGAGCTATTTTACTTCTGTACGACGCAATAGTTGGTGCTCATCTGGCTTACATGTCTGCACTATGTACGAGGCCGGAGCTTTGTTCCAAGGAAAACCAAAAAATCCCATATTTCTCATTGGCTTTCATCTGAGAGGTCGTCACTCGAGGAGCCAGTAAACGTCGAATCTCACAACGTAAACTGGGTGACTGAAAGGTGGTGACGCTATATCCTAAGTGCAGGTTGATCATACTGCTGAATGACTACTCGTGAGTGAGTGGTAGGTATAGTGTTCAACCATCAATGGGTGGCGGGTTCGGACCTCCACAGAGATTTGGTAGATGTACTGTATTGGTGACTTCTACTGAATGTTTCTCAGCCCTTACTGAAGGACTGGCTTCATTTACAGAGTGAAATATACATAGAAAGGGAGAACTTCCACAAAAGAAACCCTTATGAAACATCCTCTTGGATAATCTACCATGAAAAGTTGTTCCCAAGGAGATACTTCTCCGTCAAGTCCATTCGGAGTCACTGGACTAGTACACCACCCTTAGAATAGGGTATATTACGTCGTTCCCCCGAGTGTTCTTTTTGGTACAGGGCAACCATAGCTAGGGGTTATAACTTCTCCGTCAAGTCCATTCGGGGTCACTGGACTAGTACACTTCCCCTTAGAATAGGGTATATTACGTCGGTCCCCCGAGTGTTCTTTCTGGTACAGGGCAACCATAGCTAGGGGTTATTGCTACTGTAGTTATCTGTGATTAAAAAATTTAAGATTATAGTTCACTGGACGAATACGTCAAGTCGTAAGCCAAATAATGTTCTTCCAGCGCCGTTTCCTTCCCGTCCAATCGAGCACATATCGAGTTGAATATACCATCCGGGAGGTTGAACGGAGGTTTTCTTTAAATCAAGACAAATAGTCCTAAACATAAGAATTAATTTTTCACTGCTCCATGGTTCAGAAATCACTGAAATTAGGTAATAAAAGATTTTAAATTCCGTAACATGCGACTTTACTCTGACCTCCAGGCTAACGTAAACTGTCCAAGCAAAAATAGGGTCATTTCAGAATATGATGTGACTGAGATCAAACGGAAAAAGTGGACAACTTTCCTAGCCTTTTATTTGTGGTAAGTGCGTGAGCCAACGTGATAGGAAGAAAACCATGAGGAATTACTTAACTTGCTTTTTTTTTCCTGTGAAGTCAGATAATGCCTAGGCGAGATGTCCCAATGCTGCAATCAATTGTCGAAAATCATTAAGTAACAACAGTTTTGACGATTGTCCATCTGTTCCACCTAAAGCTTCGATGAGCACCAGTCAGTAAGGCTCCTCAAAACTAGAAGTCCGTTAGTGTCTCGACCGCACGATTAGGCTTACAGAAGAGTTTGGAAATTTCAAATCATGCAGGATCAGTAAACGAAATGATCAGAACAACTTGAGCGTGTTCACACCTAGAGGAAAATGAAGGTGAACTTGTTATCTTTAGTTCCTTCCGACTTTGGTCGAGAGAGTTGCCTTAGGATGAACGGAAGTGAGGGACGCTCATCAACACGGACTAATAAGGATCCAAGAAATTAGGCAGAACTCGTCCGGTTAAGGATCGAAGCGTTCCATCCGGAAGATGTCTAAAAAGCGATCAATATTTTAGCATGCGTGCCTTGATGGATGTTGCCGAAATTCTTGTCGAAAGCAATAACAGACAATGAAAGTGTACCAGTGAATATACCCGTCTTTCATTGGATAGTTTTATAACACAACAAGGATTCGCCAAAAAATTGAGCATTCAGCGGTCGCATCCTTGAGATGAGTAGCCTCCATGCAAACCGAAGGAAGCACGGGGCTGAGCAACCTCAAAATGTTCGACCCATGATAAGATCAGTCATAGGGCTGGGGTGAGTTCTAGTTATGGGACTTCAGTTCGATAGCTTCGCGCCGTGAACTCTGAGTTGTCTCGAGCCCGTTCACCTTTAGTTAGGTTGAGCAATACACCAAGGTGGTTTTTACAGACTATGATTGTGATTAATTGGGATGGACAATAACAGCCTATTAATTGTGGAAGCACAGTAACTGAAGCTTACAACTGCTTTAATGGAAAACGAAATTGCATAGATCGATAACGGTTTACAATATAAATATAATGTTTCGGTAGGCCATATTGGTCTTAGTGGCTGCGCAAAGACTTACTGTCAACTGGCTCAGTTCGGTCTCTTGAATGACTTATTTGAACTTGTTTTTAAGGGCAAAATAACCGGACGGACAAAGCTTCCCTCAGACCTCCAGATGAAGTACCTTCAAAGGATACCAGATGCTCCATGGGACCAAATCTAAGCTGCCCCCAGTGCTGTGCAGGATTTTCCAGCATGCATCAACTGCAGCTGCATTTCTTGCAGGAACATGCCCAAACACTCGAAAGTATATTTCATCTTGGCAACGCATTTTCGGCTGGACGTTTCCCGTTCAGCCTGCCAGGACCAGTTTTACCTCCATTCTACCCACAACCATATATAACTCCCAAACAAGATGATTTTGGACCAAGTCACCAAGGTCCAACTCCTCTTCAGAACCCCTGTCTGCTTCAACCACCCATTCAGCACACCACGCGTTCGGATCTCGTCAGGCCCGATTTAACTGGTCTAACCGCATTGAACCCCTTCGGCTCTCCGCCTTCACAAATGATGAACTTACAACTTACCGCTGCGGCACATGCTTTAGGTTTTCCGTTCAGCTCCGTACTCATCCCAGATGGAGCAAATAACTGTGTGCAAGACGAGAAACGCCCAGCTAGGCGCGGTGATGACAAGCTGTTGGACTGCAACCAATCACGTGTGATCAACGGTGGTCCAATTCACACGGAACCGAAACGAGCTAGGATGCAAACCGGTGTCGAGTCAACGAACCCGTTCACCCAAGGTGAGTAGATGTTGAATGAACCTGATCGACCGTGTGTGTGCGGATTTGTTCATCGCAGCCGAGTATAGTTTATGATAAATGGAGTTAGTGGGTTACATATGTTTATGATACATATTGTTATTTGTTTACTATATGTAGGCTTGTTGTTTTGGTTGCTTGACGAATTATCACATCATGTTTATCTTTGAGGTATCCTTGGTTTATCACTTAAGTGACCTCCCTGTGGATGATCGATGGCCCGTTGGTTCACAGGGTTTCTGCATACGATTGTTCCACATTACAGGCAGGTTGATGTTCCGTTTGTTGCATGGTTAGTGGATTTTTAGAAGAATTCTATATTTTTTTAGTTGTCACACTAAAGAGTAAAAATACTTTCACCATGTGCAATGAAACATCCCAAGTTGATCCAATAAGAGACAACGCCCAAGAGTTTATCCCGGGGGATAAATGATCCTCCATCTTGGTGTCATAGCATCTGTTGAATCGTGGTTTGATCAAACTGGAGACCGCTGGAGAAAATAAGCTACTTTTGGTCGACCCTTTGAGACAGGCATTCCAGATGGGCTATTGATATCTATACAACCAAAATGCGGTACATCCGTTCTTCGGTGAAAGCTCACTTTAATTATGAGCACAGTTTATCCGTGTATATTACTCAGTCTTACCACAATTTCGAACATCTGAATCAGATTACGCAATCTGCAGCCGGGATGGGAAACCAATACTAAATACTGTGGTGGCCATGACAGATGTTTTTAGTTCAGTTTCTCGCTACACGTATGTCATCCTGTCACGAAAGACAGCCTTTCCTTGAGAATTTCGCCCGTTTGTTACCGTTAATAGCCAGGCTGTGGTTGGCTTTTATCGGGTAAGATAAACCAACTCGCTCAATATTCAAGTCGAGTTTAAGTGAATACCCAACAGCATTCTCGGCCAGTCATGGGCTAGATGGATACCAGGTTAGCTCTTGTTCCCCAACCTCTATTCCAGTCAGGGTGAAAAACTGTTTTCCAAAATGCCGCTGTGTACGCAGTCCTGGATAAACTACCCTTATCCCCAATTCAGTTGAAGAACCAGCTGATGCAGCACGAGAGCATTTCGCTAAATCAGGATCATTAGGATTGAAGCAGCAAGTTTGAAAACGATTGCGGACTTCTTTGATGCTGTGTCTGGACAAAATTGTGTACACATTTTATAGTGGAAGAAGTTCCTCGCAGGATATGTCCTCTTGAGTAGGCGCATCATGTTGTTGGTTGAAACTACGTAAACTCAATTCAGTTGAAGAACTAGCTGATGTAGCACGAGAGCATTTCGATAAATCAGGATCATTAGGACTGAAGCAGCAAGTTTGAAAACGATTGCACACTACTTTGATGCTGTGTCTGGACAAAATTTTGTACAAATTTTATAGTGGAAGAAGTTCCTCACAGGATATGTCCTCTTGAGTAGGCGCATCATGTTGTTGGTTGAAACTACGTAAACTACGTAGAACTACAATGTCCTCACTTACAAGATCGTCAAGACGAGACAAACACTACTTAAATACAGTCACATAGCCAAAGCTTATCGGATGACAGTTTGAAAAACGTCTAGTAGATCTCCCATTTTGTGTGGTGGCATTTTCTGCATGATGCAACCTTGTGTTCTAGGGTGGAACGGCCAGAGTGATTCCCGGGTGGTTGATAAAGCTTCTATAAGTATACTGTCTACCATAGCGCAAACTAAGCATGCTACACCATCTGAAAAGAAGCGCTTGTGGTACCAGTTGGTGGAAGTTTGAAAATGCGGCAATCGGTGCGTGAATTGCGAACTGCTCCCCAGGAATAAATAATAACGCCTGATCTCCCTCGCTTGAGGAAATATTTTAGCAGCTTCCAACCGGTCATACCACCATTCTCATCTCCTGCTTTTACTGATCGAGTAACTACTTATTCACATCCGCATCTGCATCTGCTGAGACAGTGCCCCGGTGATTCCATGGCCCAATAAATGTTGCCAGGCCCAGAAGCCTACACGCACACGCAACCTCAGTTCCCAGTCGGCACACGCACCCGTCAGTCAATTGCGTATATAACGCTTGTCCCGATACGGTGCGTGTCTGTGGTATGCATAGCTTCGTCCATAATATCGACACAAAATTACCTGTCAATTTAGATGTATTGCCCGCATCTGAGGTGGACAGCAGGTAGCTTGCACGCGAGCGGTTGGAAATGGTGAACCAAGTTCATAATAGGTGCACTAACTGTGCATACATATTTTCCCACATTAGAAGGTTATATACAGGGTGGAGGATTGTAAAACCTGTCATAACTGGGGTTCACTGTATGTTCGACTTATCCATCAAACCTTGAATGTGAAGGAAGAACTGTGACATTCGCCATAATACTCCACTGTGTTGGAGACAGTCCCATCGGGCTGGTCACAGCGTGCGAAACAGAGACAGAAGACTGGACACGATTTGCCAACCACGGTGGTGTGGCCAGCGAACTATATATGGCAGATTGTAGGTGCGCTTGTATTAGTGAGGCTTAGGCGAATCCCTGCTGAGCTGGAAGCGTAAACATAATCAGAACAGATACAGCCATTTTACTGCAAAGAATGGAGCCTAGGGATAAACTGGCATCCATCTGCTTCCAAAAGAGCACCAAAGACAGGCTTAACAGTGGTGAACATAAAATTAACAGGAAATTGATTAGTCATGCCAGCCACGATATTGCATTATAACTGGCTTGGCCGATTACAGATTTATTTTTTTATAGATATAGAAGTAACAATGGCTGTGGGCAGCTCATGCCTTCAACGATGAAGCAAAAATTTGTTTCTTAAGGGCTAAAACTTGAAAATAATATTCCTCACTTTTCAACAGCGTTATTGCATAGTGAAATGTCTACACTAGCCAGAATACTGGACCGAGTGCGTCAGACATAAAAAAAAACAGTTCTCTCTATGCCTCTTGAAAGTCTCTTGCACAAACAATAATGATAGTAATAGATAAATAATTAAATAACTAGATAAAATAAGTGGCGAACAAACCAAAGTAAGTCAGTAGATAATCTTTTTTATAGTTTGAGGAGATTTGGGAATCGGCTTAACTTACAGGACGAAATCTTCTTTCAATTTGTGAAAACTTTTTTGAATAGTTTCTTTGTAAGACAAAAACAAACTTTCAAATACATGAAGAAAATGGTTAACATCGGACCACTTTCCATATAAGGACATTGTGGTTTTCTTCATGTGTTTTGATGAAATTATGAAGACGAGTCATTGGAAATTCCAACTGTTTGAACATAACTTTAAAAATGCACTGATCTCAAGTCGAATTTTGCAAACGGTATTCAAACTGTGCTAAAAGGGCTCACATCAACCTAACTGGAACCTGTCTACGACTCTACTGAGATTCCTGTCTGGTCATCTTGAAGATATTATTGAGGAATCTTGTAAAAGTGATGAAACATCTTACTGTGAAAATATTTTGGAAAGGATGCTCAGTTCTGTCAGTGCTGTGAGCTAGACCGGCGCGTTGTTCCCCTTGAAAGAAACGGACCAATTACTAATGAGGTTAGTACGGATAACTTGACACATATTGACAGCTCACTTGAATAGCTGCTTCTGTTCGACTATCGCAATTCCATGATCCCAGCCTGCTAACAATTGCTCCACTCAAGCAATAATGTATTTAAGACTGGGGGAATCTTTAGTCGCTTGGCAAAAAACGTTTGATGGACAACTGTATGGCTGCACGACTAGGGAAAATAATAAGTTTATGTCTGGAAGACCAACTACAGATTCTAACTTTTGCAATAAAAGGTTGCATGTTTTTTTTACTTGGACTCAAAGTCATGGCGAACGATGATAGTTCAGAACTTACGTTGTGCCCTATTTCACAGAGACCAAAGCAATCTTTGGGAAAACTAATTGCATTCAAATATTGTGAGTGAATCAAAGCGGCTGCCAACCACAAATGATGACAAACAGATCTGAGTTACTCAGACTAAAACTTTTACCCTTAGGCATACGCAGGCATTCGACGGGTGCTGTGAGATTCTCAGCCTTCAAAATTCATCAAACTTCTATGTACGTTGTCGGTCCGTGGATGACTGGGTAGGTGCCCTTCGGTGGCGTTTACCATTAAATCTGAATCTGAAAGTAGAAATTAAGAAACTTTGGAGGCACTCAAAAACTTTATCCGGGCGAAAAATGGTTTCAAGTTGTAGGTCCTAATCCACGTCTTCGAACGAAGTGCGTAATTTCCAGTCACTTTGAACGGTGAGTTCTAAATGAAGTCCCATGACAAAGTAGCACTCTGGTAGCTGTGACTGTAATTCGGTGACCCACTGGAATTTGGTCAGCTACGCACTACTGAGGATTCCCAATATGGATGAACGTGTGTGTACATTGTCTCTCGGCTTTTCAGGTTCACTGACAGGACGAAATATCAATGAAAGCTTACCAAACCTCCTCACGCTACCATCATATTTAACTCACTCTCTCAGAGCAGCAAACAGGTGGTGGGGTTAGCTGACGTACCAGCTCCAAGGTCAATGGAAACTGTTTGCCTGAATCACAGCCATTTTGAGCTCGTTTCGAAGGTGGGCATCGACCCCTGCAGCTGACGACTGTTTCAGCGGGCCACCACAACAGTTAGTAGTATAACATATGAATATCCTAAGAGCCGCAATTTCAGTAACAGTTTCCAGTTTGTTGACTCCAAAATCGAGAACGGGTAAATTTTTCCACGAGCTGAGTCTGAATGTGCGTAGAGACGTTTGAGGCGAATAAGGACTGTATCTGAGCGTCACATCCAAATTATGACTTGGATTTACACTTTAATAACAGTGCAATGGGATAAACGAACCCAGCAGATCAAAATTTTATCAAAGTGCTGAAGTTAATAGTCCGTTCGAGCACTGTGGGTTTTTCCCACTGCACTTATCGATTCAAATCACACCAAAGGAAGACCAATGCGAACAAATTCATTTGGGATATGCTTAAGCCTTGAC